TATATATATATATATATATCGTTTCCCCCCACCATTCTTTGTCTCTTTCAAGCTTTGTAACATCCAGTCTTACATCCTAAGTATGATCAATCATGTGGCACTCAAAAAATGTTCTGACTCTTAGGAACATGTAATGGGTGTTATAAAAACATTCGGACAAGTGGGCAGTTTAGCTGCAATCCACTGAGAGATATTTTACAGACTGGGTCAGTCTGGCCCCTGACTACTTACAAACACACATGCTCACCGACAAAACACAACATGCTCACCGACAAACACACATAGGATTGTCTCTTTGCCTGCTCCATGGGGATGACCACATCCACACATGCACACACAGGAAACTGGATCTGGCTACTTCATAACATCAATAATTAAAAAGAGAACAACAATTGTTCCCTTGGGTCAGAGAGGAGGATAGAGAATTGTAGGAACTATGTATGCAGACAGTAGTTGGGAGTCAGTCAATTTTGTTTCAGGAAATTTTGTCAGGAGAAAGTTTTGAACCCTTTGAAAATACGGTATGCATAAATTTGTGGGCAAATGTGATCTGATCTTCATCAAAGTCATAACTAAAACCTTAAACTAATACCACTGAAAAGTTCCCGAAGAACTTTCACAAGTCCTTTTATTTTTTTAATTCTGGCGATACTAACAATAACTACCAAGAGACTTTATATTCTCACTTGAACTACTGAATGGATGCCAGAAAGATCAAGACACTGCTGTGGTGCCATTTTATGCCAGATGTGGAAGACAGTCTGTCTTATTTAAAATGTTCCATATTCTTATACTGCCTCAGCCAGACGCATGCAGGTGCAAAGCTAATCTAAACAATGTTTTGGTGTCTTTCAATGTGTGACACAATGGTCTTACTTGGTTTCTACTGCTAAGTGTGCAAGGGTGCAGATAGGAAGATGCAGAGCTTGGACAATGATAACAACAACACAACTGCCTAGCTCAAATCACCTACTGTATCTACTTACGTGCCAAAGAGGCCTAATCTACTAATCTAGCAACACACCAAATTTGTTTTTTTGAACCCCTGAGCCCATTGAATTCTCCTGGTGTTGACTTGGATCAGGAGTCAGCCAAGCGAGAGTCCAATTATGTGACGATATTAGAGATGTTGTTGACAAGCTTTCTGTATGATCAATAAAACATGAACAAAAATGGATGTCATTAGAGAGTGCGATAGTCACCCCCCCCCAAAAAAAAAAAAACACAAAGCAAAACAAAACAAAAAACATTGCTGTGTTTGAAGTTTGGATGTTCCACAGTGCTTTTGGAACACGATTGTGTGATGGATGAAACCATAATTGAGTTATTTGGAACACAATACTGGCGGTCCAGTGGTTAGTGCGTCAACCTCACAGGGCAGAGGTCGTGGAATCGATCCCGGCTCCGACCTTCCTGTGTGGAGTTGGCATGTTCTCTCTGTGCCTACGTGGGTTTTCTCCGGGTCCTCCGGTTTCCTCCCACATTCCGAAAGCATGCATGGCAGGCTAACACTCTATATTGTCCCGAGGTGTGAGGGTGCGCCCAGATGGTTGTTCGTCTCTGTGTGCTCTGCGATTGGCTGGCAACCGGTTCAGGGTGTCCCCCGCCTACTGCCGGAAGATGACTGGGATGGGCTCCAGCATGTCCTGCGACCCTTGTGAGGATAAAGCGGATTGGAAAATGGATGGATGGATGGATGGATGGATGGATGGATGGATGGATGGATGGATGGATGGATGGAAGAGTCGCAGCTGTGCCAGAGTCTATCCCAGCTGTCTTTGGGCAGTAGGCAGGGTACACCCTGAACTAGTTTGTTTGTTTGTTTGTTTATTGAACATATATAAAACATACAATAACAGATGACAAAATGCAAACAAAAATTATGAAAGGAAAATAAAAGTAAGTAATACAAACATCATCTCAGTTATATGTTCAAAGGAGTAGGGAGAAGTATACAACTTATCTAGTCCTACCCCTTGTTGTGCAATAATGTATATTGATCATTTCCAATACCAAAGGAAAGGAAGAAATCTACATTTCATCAAATACTTTTACCCTTTGTGTACTATACTTATCTATTGATACACCTTTCGGTTTGTATATATATATATATAATTGTTCTTTCTACTTTTTATGTCAAATGACTCATTCATTATATATACTGCATTTCTTGAATACATTCAATAAGTTGTTCAAAATCCAGAACAAGAACAAACCATAGTATGACTATATTTTATACGTACCAGTATGTAAAATGTATCTTTTTTTTTTTTTACATAAAAAAGCAACATAGTTGCTAGCTAATCGCACAGTTCACCATTAGATGGCACTAAATTCTACACACTGTACCTTTAATCTGATTATTTTCTGTAGTTTGACCATATTTTTTGGCTAAGCATTAGAAATAAAATAACAGTACAATGAGCATATTCAGTAAAATGACGAACAATTGAATCATTCATTCTAGTACGTAGCTCCTATGGTGACATGGAAAAAAAAAACAACTGCATTCCCTCGCAAAGATTGTGAGATATCAACAACAAAGATGGAGCGTTGTCACCCATTGGCGAGTTGAATTGAATTTTATTTTGAAATTGGTATGAAACACAATTAAATCTGTTCTTGATCTTAAATACAGTTTCCAAATAAGTGAAAGACATCTGAAGCGAGCGTATTAGAGCCTACAGTCACCAAACTGACACCAAAGTACATAAACGTGCATTTAAAAAAATGCATCCCCTTTGCAGAAAAAAAAAGGTTTCCATTATCTCGCAATCCTTGCAAAGTTTTTATTTTTGTTGTTTTTTTTTTTTTTTTGCATATATTTGTTCAGTATAGCATTGAAATGTCTATTCTGTCCACACACCAATTTAGCATTATTTTCCCTATAATGGTTCTTTTCAAATTGAAGACTAAATACAAATTGATTATTTCAGGGATGTACCCAGGGAGCCAAAGCAAGCATCATGAGTCATCAGACAGCCTTTCATCTGATCACATTGGGCAGGATGATGAGGAGTGGCTCTCTCAGGTAAGGCCCCTGTCTTTGCTAACTGAGCTGTGACATTGTGACACAATCAAGCAGACATAATCTCCATCATTCACCCAGAGCTTCCTTGTTCTCATCCCATTGCTCTGTCTTCTATAAATATTTTACGTGAATTTTATTGCATGCTTGAGCACATTTGCCATTCTGTCTTTGTCTTATGTGATTTGTTTTCAGAGGCCATCAATTTTGAATTACACAACACTTTGTTCCAGTAAACGTTTCATACAATAAATCCAGTTGTGGCATGGCTGAAGTTGATATGTAAACATGATCCAATTGTAAGTCTTTTGTTTACAAAAACTAGGCCAATTAAACAGTTGTGTGCGGCAAAAATGTCAGAATAAGGTGTTTTTGTTAAAATGGTCGTTCTCAGCACCTTGATTATCGCCATTTTTTTGATATTTTATCCAACTCACTGAAAAAAAATGATGGCAAAGAGTTTGTGTTCAGGCAACCAAAACTTTGATCGCGCACTACTTTTTGCCCCCGCCCATCTCCCACTCCCACATACAATTGGGGCTGCTTCTCTAGTCATTTGTAGGGACAAATGACTGGGGAAGCAGCCCCAATTGTATGTTTCACTTTCATCTATGAAAATTCTGAAGCATATATAACAGCCTTAGACCAACTCAAAATTAACTTGGAGCCTTACAATAAACAGCAAATCTGTTATTTTGAATTTACTTGCAAACTTGGCCACATTTTAGTTCATGAAAGAGGACATAGTTGAATAAACCCCTCATACAGATGTAATCAGATTGACTTAAAATTTTGGGTGTCTCATCTGATATGATATTGAAGATGAAGAGCCTATCCCAGCTTTCTTCGGGCAGTTGGCAGGATACACCCTGAACTGTTTCCCAGCAAATAACAGGGCACACATAAGCCCTGTTCACACGGCACACATTTGGTCCGACGCTGCACCAAAATATTTTGTTGCGATATATTTTACACCGGAGCAAATTTTGTGGAGCGGTCACACGTGCAAAGCCGCTGAGCATGACAGCTCCGACGCAGCGTCGGAGCAGCTCCACTTGCGGTCACACGTGCAGTGTCTGCTGCGGACCAAAACGACAGGAATGCGGAAGTAAAACAGGTTCGGGTCGGGTCGGGCTTCTCTCTCGCGGACTTTTATTTATTTTTCTTTTAATAAATATTATGGCGGACACTATTCTGTCCTTGTTCAGAATAGATCCACTTGTTGGCAGTCGTGGAATAAAGACGTGTTTACAGTCAATCGTGTGTGCTCCTTATGACTGCCACAATATATGTTTTAAAAAATGTATAC